TTTCCAGTAAATTTGATTCGATTTATTCAATTCCGAGAATCAATAATCGCGCAACATAATCATCATTAATACGAATATCCTCTTATTAACTCGCGACGTAATTCTGTTATCCGTCTCTCGTAAAGCAATCAACATCAATACAAAAAGATGCACTAATGAACGAGCTTCGTCATTTTGAAACGGAAATAATCGCCGTTTGATCGAGTAGCGACCAAAAGAAGATTGCCGGCGGACACGTTTGTACTAATTTCGTCCGCGCCAATTAAGACGCGGTGAACATCAACGACTCGTCATCGATAATTGATACGTCTCTCCCTTAACGCCTTACAAACATGTTCAACGAGAAGCCGAAAGCGCCTTAAAAATCCAAGGTGAAATATGGATATGTCATTAACATCCAGAAAAGATTCGATGCTTTTGTAACAGAGTAGCATTATTTAAATTAAATCAAAATTGATATACATTTAATTAATCAAATATCGACAAATTTCTTTATTAATATCAACATTCAAAATTAATTCTTCAATCTAAATAAAATCTATATTAAATATATCTATATAAAATAATTTTTTTTAGAACATATTTTTGTTTTTTAATGTATATTCTTTTTGAAATAAAAAAAATATATACGTATAACAGTGTCAGATTTGATCGGGATATGAATTTAAAATAGATCGAAGCGCGTGATCTCGAGGAGCAAAGAAATTCTTTTTCATCGAGAAATGTAGATCGAGCAATTAATAATGATGGGCTCTTGATAGCCCCGTAGGTCACGAATCGTGATTCAAGAGAATCGCTTTTGTCACGGTCTTGCATTCCTTTAAGGGCCCTTTAAGGGTCTGTTCGCGGCCACGTGGTCTCACAGAACCCTCGGTACTCCGGGCACGCACACGCCAGCAATGTTACTTTGCATGTGTCCTGTCTAATCTGGCATTTAAACAGGAACAAAACAAGAACCGCGCGTGGAACGAGAATGAGATTATTTCGAGAGCGGCACGGTGTGTGATTTCGAACGTCGAGTCGGCTACGAAAAGCGCCAGGTGCGCTACGTAAAGCCGACCGTTTATATCGTTACTGACGTATTTCGGAATATCAAAGTGATTGACGTCTGCTGTTGCAAACCAATTCTCGAGATCGATACTGAATCGTCACGAAACAAAAAGCTAAATCAAGGTTTTTCGTCAAAATATTGAATAAAAAAAGATCACTTTTAATTTTAAAAAATTAAATTATAATTATGATAAAGATATATAATAATAAAATAAAGAATATTTTGAATTTTAATATTAATAGAAATTCGTCGATCTTCGATTAAATAAAATATACCAATTTTGATTTAAATAATAACACAATTTCATGGATGTGTGATATATCCATTTCTCGCTTCGGATATTTTATTTTAATAGAAATTAGTATACATATTGTATATTATAATTCGTAGATTAATTAATGTCTCGATATATCATAAATATTTTTAAAATCTAATATTTAATAAAATACATCGAAGAGCAATATGAAATAAGTATCATATATTTCTCACAAAAAATTAATTTAAATTGAATAAAGAAAGTTATTTTCCATCGCAAAAACCATGTTATAACAATCACGGATAAATGATAAATCGAGACAGATTTCCAATGTCGTCGCATCGACACATCATCGGTTTCCTTTAAATTTCCTCGTTAAATGTTCTTTAAGATAAACGTTGATCGCACGTAGCGGCTGTTAAAGCAGAAACATCCGCCTCTTCGGATCTCGCGAACAACGAGCATTCACGTCGATCCATCGGAGCGAACGATTAAACCCGCCCTTTCCCCGAAACTAATTAAATTAATGATCTCCCCTCGGGCGAATCTTCGCCGTTTAGATAGAGTCCGGTTACCGCCTTCCATCGCCTCGATAACTCGAGGGTACCGCAAAACGATCTTTATCCCTTTATCTTCATCCGATTCAGCCAGTCCGCTTCATTATCGTTCCTCTCGCGTGACATTACCCGAAAATCGCACGTAAAGTAATTACATAATGTCTGCAGATTCGAGTATCATCAATGTTAACGGTGTCAAATGTAAAGCAGCATTAGAGAGCGAAATTAGAGAGAGAATAATTTTAAGATATACTGTATATAAATGAGAAAATTGATGGGATGTGTAAGTTGCACAAAATATCTTTTTTTTTATACTTAAGCATAAAAAATAGGTATTCATTAATGTTTTTCTAAAATACACAAAAATTTTGTCTCATTAGAGTTATACGAATTTATTGAGAAAGTTACAAAATAAACTGCATGAAAGTTTGCGGAATATAAAGATTTTATGTGCGTAAAATATAGTTATAACATTCTATAGAATTTCTGAAAAACCTAAACATGCGTACAAAATTGCATAGCAATGCGACGCAGAGAATAAAGTGCGTTTCGTAAGGATTGCGTGTGTAATATCGCTTTAGGTGGTTTAATCATTACGTACAAACAGGAAACAAGACCCGATGAGGAAAGATATGATATAGTGAGCATTAATTTTCACGATAAAAATTGTATTTTTATGACAGATTAGATATTAACTATTATCAGTAATACATATATGTATATAATTGTAGAAATTACAAGATTTTAACATTTTATTTTATATTTTATAAAAATTGTAATAAAATCGTAAATTCTTTTATCAATGACTAAATTGTCAAATATAATGTACAATTTAATAAAATGTTAAGTTTATATACGATTTTATTATTAATAAATTTCTGTAAAATATAAAATAAAATGTTAAAATCTCGTAATTTCTACAATTTTCTATAATGTAAATTGAGAAATCTTGAAATTTTTTTAGATGTATTTCGTATGCTTAAAATTTTATTTTTTACCTACAGCAGCGTATGAATAAAACAAAAATGACTTTCCATTCAACAAACCCGATACGACCATAAATATGCAACGAGCTGTAAGATGCAACGCGATAGCTTACGCATTATATTATGCAATATATTGTATTATGCTACATGTGTGTGGTAGAAGAGAGAAGAATACCATTTCGCAATATTGCGGAATGGAATTTCGCCGTTCTTTTGCCGGCGTGCGAGAGTCGATCGACCGGATTGCAGAAACAGGAAGCGACACACAACGAGCGGGTTGGCGCGAACGCTCGATCTCGATATCTCGAAGATCCAATCGGAGGCGGCTCGCTCGTTCGCTCGACTACACGTTCGATCGATCGATCCGTCTTGTATCGGGAGGCAGCAGACAGCAAACGTTAATTATCGCGCATTATTTTTATTTATCCATGCGAGATCGCCGTAAAGTTATTATCGCGTAAGCGTTATTAAAAATGTGTTTCTCGCGCGATTTTGTCTCTTGGAAGGACCAAAAAAGGACTTACTTAAAATTCAAGAGAAAAAAAAAGAAAAAAATTCGTAGAATAGCAAAAGAGAAGAGAGATCAAAATGAAGAGCGAAGTTAATTATTCCGGGTGATCAAACTATGACTGTTAACTAGCTGTTAATTAACTTGTAAACGACTCAATGGACGTATTTCCAGAGAACGTCATTAAAACTCAATAGACAATTTAGAACAACATGATACATTGTCGTATCAAGAAATCTCAGACATGTCTCTTCTAAATCTTTGCGTTACTGATACGATCAAAATAACAGCAAAAAATTAATTAATGCTCTTAGAAGCACGTAAAATCTTTTCGTATTTCATCTTTCAATTTTTATAAAAATAATTTTGTAATTGTTTTTCAATTTGCGCGTTAATAAAAAAGATATTTTGTGCATGAATGAAAAAAATGATAAAATGATTAGAATTAACTTATCTCTTAAAATGTTTTTATTTTATAATTTTTTTCATTCATACATAAAATATATATTTATTAACGTAAGACTAAAACAATTATAAAATTATTTTTATAAAATTTAAGAATAGTATCGAAAAATAAAAAAAAAAGGTTGATATACAACTTTAAAAATGTCAACTATCAAAGAATAAAATTCAGTAGCGCGATATATTCTGATTTTTATTTATACGCGTCTATGAATAAATTCTCCGCGCAAAAAGTCAGCTAATAAATTACATTAAATTACACCAGCCGGAAACGTTTTAAAGATACCCTCTTCGCGTTCTCTCTTTCTCTTTCTCCACACATTTCTCTTATGCCTCCAGTATTTTTGTTGCTCATCGTTCGAGCGCGTACGTTCCATGCGATATTGCCGTATGAAAGAATCGATATCCCCGAGAGAATGCCTTTGATCGTCCTCGAGTAACGGGTAAAAGGGTTGCGTTAACACTCGCGATGCGTCCTATGTGCGCGGTGGATTCAACGCGGTCGTCGTCGTGTCGCTAAATATAAAGCAAAGAGAGTCTCCTCATCTTCGAGAGGAAGGGGAAGAAGACTGCGGAATGTCCTGAGATTTAATATTCTCGTGGCAGACGCGCGTTTTACGAGGTCACACGCGGGATCCGTCGGAATTTTCGACAATATTTTCGAAGACCACACACGAGCGCATCTCCGAGACGCGACAACGTCGTCGCGCCGGAAATCACAGCCGAGATTTACGGAAACGAGACTTGCGCAATTTAAATCGCGAGGAGAAACGTGAGAAGTATCGCGCGAAATTTAATCTCGTCGGGAAAATATCGAAGTGCGGCGTACACTGTAAAAAAATATGTAAAATTACATTAAAAATATGTAAAATTACATAAATAATAAATGTAAAATTACATGATAAATAATGAAAAGGTAAACATTTCTATTATTTATCGTGTAATTTTACACTTATTATTTATGTAATTTTACATATTTTTGTGTAATATATTACATATTTTTTTACAGTGTAGGAGTCATACTCGCGAATTGCGTGGATATTCTTGAGAGTGTAATGCGGAGCAATATTTAATACTGTATTGATAATTAACTTGCGTATCAATGCAAGGAATTATTTTGCGGAACATTATAAAGACAAGATCGAATTGCATGTAATGGTGAAAGCAGGTAGAGACTCACCCTGTTTGGCATTATGCCGAAATCCACGCGCGGCTTGGATGATATTTAGTTCGCAAAGGATCAACAAAAGAGCGACAGCGAGGATGCTCCATAACGTCAAGTTGCCCTTCTTCATAGCGGTGGTCATGGTCCACGAGAATTCCCGCAGTTTCTCGATACGATCGAACAAAGGCGACCATTGACAAAGACACTCACATAGTCTGCGGATCCCTCAATGGGCGAAAGACAGCAAAATTCCGCGAATCGTTCGTTATCTCGCCTCCTTTCTCCGTCATTCATCGAAAAGCGCGTGCGAAATTCCGGATACGTACTTTATTGCATCGTCGTTTCTCGATCGAGAGAGAGGGTTTCGAACAACGTGATATATATGTCAATCACTATTTAATTACTGTCAAAATTATACGACCACGTGGCGAATCGACTCGCGCCTCTTCTATTTTCGGAGCACGAACTTTTCGAAACGACGAATGTTGCACTCATTTCACTTCCATTAACGCATCTTCGGAGATCGGAGGTCGGACAGAGATGTCACATATATATGTAGCATTACACTTTCACCGACAAAAATCGCGCGATTCTTTTGTACCTGCGTTTACCGATTACGAGAAGGCTCGAGAAGCGACGATTATTGGAGCACACTATTTTTTTCCGTGAAATACACCCGGCGAAAATCTCACGAAATCTCAATCGCGAATTTTTCTCACTCGCGTGAATTTACAATTAGCTCCGAAATTTGTCGCTCACGTCTCAAACCCGCGAGATCGAGTAGGGTCTTGTGGCGCGAATTTTCCACGTGTTCACTTGTTGCTCCTTCGACGAGAAAAACAGGATCTTTCGATCGTGCGTTTTGCGTATATTTATGAAAAAAATGACAGCACTATATAATCCGCGTCCGGCACTTTGATTTCGCAGGTACGCAGTAAAAACACACGGAACTGACAATGAGATTTCTTTGACACTTCGAAACGAGAAATCTTGCACGAAAGAGAGGGAAAAATTCGCAGACGAGCGGCGCCGCGACCCAACCGGAACGAACGTCGCAAGCGAACTGACTGGGTGAAGGAAGGCACAAGCAAAGTCACCACCGACGAGCGAGATTCCCCCACCACTTCCCTCGACAAACGCGCGGGTGTTGTGTAGGTATAGATTATTGATAGGTGAAAAGGTCGCGGTGGTGTTTTTCTGACAATGAAAACAAATAAAACAATGTGCGCAGAGGCACAAGAAAATAGCCCTAGGTTTATGAATATTTTTTTTCAGAAAATATTAAGATTATCAAAATAAGGTTTTACCAATCTATTATATGTATATTTTATAATATAAAGGTAAATTTTTTATTGAAAAATATTTAAAAATATGACAGATATTGCTGTTGACAATAAATACTGTTGTGTTTTACGGTATTTAATATGCAATCTATGGTTCATCTGAAACAAAAAACTTGATTGATTCTTAAAATATACAGATAAATCTAGTTTATGTCGCAGCAAATGTTTAAAATTCGCAATATTTGCAAAATGACACTTATTTAAATATAAAAACGAATATTTTAGTGTAATTGCTTTTCAGTTGTTAAAAACAACTAAAGCATTTAAAAAAATCTACAAAAACAAAAATTGTCAGTACATTTTAAGAAGAATCAAGCGAGCTTTTTGTTTTAAATTTTAAATAAATCACATAAAAATTGCATATTGGATACTGTAAAATGCAATTGTATCTGACGTCAGCAGCAATATCTGTCATATTTTCTAATATTTTTCAATAAAAATTTTCTTATATTACTAAATATACATATAAAATAGACTAGTAAAAATATCATTTTAATAATCATAATCTCTGAAAAAAATTTTTTTTCTAAATATAGAGCTACTTTTTAATGTCTCTGGGTGTATGTCCCCCCTTAATATAATTTATTTTATCTTGTATACTATACATTCTTTCTTTTAGAAATTTGTATACGATGCACGATATATGCATTTTTTAGACTGTCAGTTATAATAGATGATAATATTGAAGAAGATCTCAGTTCTCTCCGAATTTGCCGAATCTTTACAATACTTGTATTTTGCGCGTAAAACATGAATCTGTAAATTAAAATTGTCAAATAAAAAAAAAGTACCAAAATGGATTCTTTTTATAAACATTTCTATCTTTTCTTAAAAAAAACTATTTCTTTGCAAATTATGTAGTTTTTTTAATATCTTAAAGTATGAATAAAAAAATTAACTATGTGCACGCTTTACTTTTTTCCAACGGAATTTGCAAACTATTAATATAATGAAAATTATAAAAGTCAATTTACAAAACTTGTTAAGCTTGACATTATATCTGTTGCCATCGAAAAATTTAAATAAGAAATTTAATTGAAACAAAACGCACTTTTTTGGCAAAAAATATGAGAATGCTATTTTGAAGATTTTTGGATGGGAGTATTTCTATGTTCTCAGTGGTGATAAGAACGTTAATGATACTGACAATGAGTGAATTCTGTTCGTTACAAAATATGACTCGATTCTCTTGCAGGCATTTGCTACTGAGATAAATCGTGTCTAAAGTGTTTTATTACCCGCATTTCATTTTTCTCGTCTTATGATGAGAATGTAAACATTTTACTGCCCGAAAAAGACATCCGTCATACTAATTATTTATTACAAACATTAGATTATATGTATAGGTTTTATCACGCATGACTTTACATGCGCCAGTTTGATTGTTTCGATCATTTTGTTTAAAAAATATCGCTTTGTATCCAACATTCGAACAATTTTATCAAACAATCAAATTATTTGCTTCTTTATTAGATTGTGAGTGACAAAAATCAGTTTATTATTATCTTACATTCGCATCTTACACATCGCTAAACATTTAATAAAGGTACTTCTAGTTCGGTAACAGAACTATAAAAATGAAAGATTATATAAATTTTACAACTGAATACATATCATCATTTGTTATAAATTTGGTAGATATGAAATTATTATTAACCCTATTACCCTTTTTGATATTATATTAATATTTGCACCTTTTACAATGACGGCATTTACACGATGTAAATCTAAAAAGGGTATGTTGTAATTTGCATCATCCTTCAAAAGTAATATATAAAACTTGTGTGCTTTAAACGAATAAAATCATGCAAATTGTTGAAAATTCTTTTCTAATCAAAATACGTAAATCAATAAAATTTTGTATATTAATTAGAAAGTATGACTTTACTTCTTGCTTTTAAAATTATTGTTTAACTTTAAATATTTATTTATGATATTTTTATATCAGTTTTATGATATTTTTCAGACATATATTGTCATTTCATGATAAAATTTATTTCTTTTCATTTTCATCAAATAAATAGTTTACATTTAATCTATCAAATAAACAAATGTAGATTCTCTTTAAAAACAAATTTTAATTAACAAAAAATCAATTTTCTTATGCATAGATCGCTCACACAATTTGTTAATAACTTTTTAAATTTCATCATATCATAGTTTAAACAGTTTAAGTAATATAATGTCCTAGCTGATATTCCTATTCGTAAACATAAAGAATAAGAAAATACTACTATTGTTAAGTTGATATATTTGATAATATTTTTGTTTGTGATTGCTTAGAAAGTTATTCCTAAGAGCAAATATTAAAGAAACAACTCTCTGAAATTATTCTTATTGTTTCGACAGCTTTATATTGTGTGGCACACATTTGCAAAGTTTCTTCTCTTTCGGTTCGAAGTCAGTAAAATTTTAAAGTCAGTAAAGCGCAGTTTTGTGTGAAAATAATCTTTTAATATAAATTATAATGTCAGTTGAAGAAGCTAACAGAAAACTACCATTTAAGAAACGTACTTTTTCGATTAAACAAAAATTTGATGAAACGTGTCATAAACAAGATAGTGATACTACAATAAATGAAATAGCTGCTGAATATAATGTTTGTCGAAATACTGCCCGTAACGTTACTGAACGTTCTCAAAGTCCAGGAAATCAATCAATCGGACAACCTGCTGAAAATGTTATTCAAGAGCTCACGCACCGATTGGAAAAGAAGAACATTAAAAGAGATAATGATATTAATGATAAAAATAATGAAGAAATTACAGGTAGGGTAAATATAATTTATATAAAATTAAGGATTTATGTAAATAACGATTATGTTCTTTCAGATAATTTCACAAAATGTTGGAACTCTGCCCAAAAAATCGATGGAAGAGAATGTCAACAACTGAAAAGCGCACAATCCGAATTATATAAGTGGTTCCAACAATTTAAAGAATCCGGAAATATAACTCACTTTGATCACTTTAAAACTAAAGGATTAAAACTTATGGAAGAGTATGACGTATTAAAAACATATAACGACAGATACAACTGGCTGCATTGTTGTTTCAAATCTTTCGAAGAACAGGAATTTCGTCTTCAAATTCAAGAGCTCACGCACCGATTGAAGAAGAAGGACATTAAAAGAGATAACGTTTATATTATGTTTAAAACCCAATTTTATTGGAAAAGTCTTATACCGAAAAGCGATAAAAAAATTGACATGCAAAAATTAACAGGCTACCTAAATGTTATATTTTGTACAAATATTACAGATGACCATAAATTACCACCATTTTATTTTTATAACAGTACAATGCAAACAACCGCTAAGGATATAAAAAATATTCCTAATTTATGTACAACAAGAGGTGAAATTCAAAAAATTGTCAAGGATTGGTACAATAATCATTTTGTGAAACTTGTGAAAAAACGTCAACAGGAAACAAATGTAAGCGACAAAGTGCTTTTAATCGTTTCTGGTTCCAAAACGCATCTTGATATTCATACAAAAGATATTACGCAAAATGACAATTTTGAGATACAGTTTATTCCAGGAGGCATTACACTAATATATAAAATAATAAAAATTATTACTAAAGAAATAAGAAATAAATGTAAAGAAGTATTTCACGAGTTTTGCACATCTTACGACATAAACATTTATGTTTCAACGATTAACGAGGAATGGTATAACAATCAGTGTGAACATTTCATAAAATTATTTAACGACTTTTTGTCAAATTGTTGTACAAAAGAAAATACAATGGCAACGTCTTCAATTAATCAGACACCAAAGGTAATTATAAATGTAACTGAAGAAGATACGACACTTAAGGAAATATCAGCACAAGTAGAAGAACAATCGAAAAACAGGAGAAGTGTTGGAAAATACAAAGAAAAAGTTACCCCTTCAGATGATGTAATAGAAGATCTCAATTCTCATAAAGAAGATGAAGAAAAAGAACATCAAGAACAACAGGATAATAAAAATAATGAAGAAATTACAGGTAGAGTAATTATAATTTTTATAAGATTAAGGATTTATGTAAATAACAATTATGTTCTTTCAGATAATTTTACAAAATGTTCGAACTCTGACCAAAAATACGATGCAAGAGGATGTCAACAACTGGAAAGCACAATATCCGCAGATAACATCATAAACGGTGAAGAAAATATAGAATCAAGCCCCCTAAATTTATATAACAAAGTAGAAGTACACCTAGAAGACATTCTTGGAGTAATGGAATCATCTGATACGAGTTACGACGAGGCAAATTTGTATAGTTTTTTGGTACATTATAGCTTTTGATATTTTTAACACAATACGCAAGATGGAATATTGAAATTTTATATATGAAACTTAATGTGTCATATTTTTCTTTATATTACTCATATTTATATTACTAAATGAGTAATGTTTTTTTTAGTAAAACAATTTTAGATTGGAAATTTGAATTTAAAATTAATATACATGATGATGTATTTTATTGTCGTAAATAACTGCGAAATATTCAAATATTCATAAAGATCTCTATATGCCGGAAAATCAGTTTTTAGAAAATCAAGAAAAACTTTAAGAACATATTAAATTTACGTATTTTTTCCACAACTTTTTTTATGTGAGGAAATAGATGTATTTTTATTGGTAAATTTATTTCTTTGAATAAAATTTTAATATGAATGTTTTAATATTCACTAAAATTGAGAATATGTAGATAGTTTTTAGTTCTATTTATTCATATATACGTATATTAACAAAATGTTTTTAATTTTATTTGCAAATTTAGTAAATAAAATACATCAAATTGATTCAAACGTTATATTTATTTTAAACAGAAGAATATAGTTTGTTCTTGTGTTAGTAAAACAGAATGTTGAATATTTTAATGCACATTAAAAAATTCGTTATGAGCTATAAAATATTTGAAATGATATATATTTTTAACACATTGATGTAAACTCAAGAAACGTTTTCATACTCATGAATGTAATGAGGTATCTGGTATTACATTTGCATTAAACAAATATAATTATAAAATATAATTATATATTATTATATATTATATATATATATATATATCTTATTAAATATAATAATTACATATATTTTATATATTATTCTTAAATATAATAATTTTATTTGTACATTATAAAATTTCTCATATTTCATCTGTTTAAATGACTCGATTATCACTTAATGTAAAATCTTAATGAATATAAAATAACTACGAAATAAATAATTAAGCACATATAGAGTACAGATTTTGATTAACATCAGAGAAGAGTTTTTAGTTTTCGAAATAAATCTGAATAAAAAATATTAACCCAAACACAATTTTAAAAAATTACGATATCTAGCAACACTAAATTTTTTATTAAGAAAAAATTGTCTTGAAAAGAATGTCTCTCTCACCTGTCGGAACCATGGCTTCTCACTTTGCCTGACAGTAGAGGCGGACCCGTATTGTAAGCAAGCTCTTAGTTTAAACGTACTATTTATGGTAATACGTAGATATTAAAATTTTTGGAATCTTTTCTTGAACGTCCAACATTAAAAAAAATTTTTTTTGTATTTTTGCTACATATATCTCTTTAAATATTTTTAGCTAGGATTTTATACATATACATATTGTATATTAACCACAAATTTAAATTAAAAAATTATATAAATTTTGATAAATATTTACTCTTAAAATGTGGACATTTGTATATATTTAATTTTAACAAATAGTTAATAAGAGATTTTGTTAGACAGTCATTATCCATATACGCTTTTAATGTATTATATGTGTATGTATAGATTATTTCAAAATGAAGTGTACACTTTTGTCATAATTTTCTTTTGACATTATCGTAGAGTATCACGCACCCGCTTTAAATACGTCGAGACCAAGTTATAATTATGCCGCTTAAGTTAGGATAAGGCTGTGCACCGTTCGATCGAACGGATTCGCTGTATGCAAAAGCAAATTTATCTAACTATGTCGTTTAATATTCGAGTTCAATTCCGCCGCGGGATGTCCGCGTTGAGTTTGATTGCGTAAGCTGCATTAATGTACATTAATAACGCCGGGAGTTACTAACAAGCTAACGATTCTGAAAGAATTCTCAGCGAATCGCGTGTACTTCCGATATTAGAAGAATCGAAAATCTAGAAATACACTAACAACTTTACACATAGGTTAATTATAATTTATGAATATATACAATATACATTATTTAATCTATTAGAATTATATAGTTTAATGCAATTGTATGATATAAAAATTATATCAGTAAGTATATCTGAATCATGAAAACATTACTCATTGCTAAACCATAAATCATTAAAATTGACACAATATACAATTTTTGCTATTTTGCCAAATGAATTACAATACAACATGATGTGAAGTTAAAGAGAATGTATTACAATTTTTATTGTTTTTTAAAAGTAATATATTAAACTTGCATTACACGAATAAAATCATTTTCTTCACACTATTAAATAATTCTTGAATTGTTAAAATACAAAAATAAATAACATTTTGTTTTTATACATTAGAAAATTTTACTTCTTGCTTTACAATTATTTTTCATCATAAAGTATTCATTTATGTTAGTTTTATATTATTTAGACACAGCTTTCATGTATTATAGTATCAGTTTCTCCTCATATTTATCAAATAAACAATACATAGCTATTAAATAAATAAATTGTATTTTTTAAAAACAAATTTCAATTAATGAAAAACTAACAAGGTACCTTACAGATTAGTTCTCAGTTTTCCCGTACAATTTTTTCACAATCTTCTTTTGACATTATCGTTACATTTTAAATTGTATAAACATAAACAATATAATTGTTCGAAATTCGAACGTGCAAAACCTGCGGATAAAAATCATTAGAATCTTTCATGCAGTATTAGCATGCAACATGCATCATGCGGATAATTTATTTTATATTATTTTGTAACATGCGTAATTTTGCATTATATTTAAAATAGCGCTCGGCCGCAAGGGTATACAGATACTCCGTGCCTGCGAAAAATAAGCGCTTACGTAAAATCATAATAAACAGTAAGGACCGCGGCCGCGCGATAGGTGATATACAATAGTTCGGTTAATAACAAAATGCGATGTCAATCTCACAATAAACAATAACTCTATATGTTCTTTCGCCCTCAACCTACCGATGAAATAATAAAAATGTTCGCGAATATTCTAGAAAATAGAGACTATATAAGCACCCTCTCAAGAGGCCGCGAGGCTCTTTCCGATTGCTCGTCGCGAATAGAGTGTGCTTCTACTTTCCAAAAAGATCGCTTGTCTTTTTTGCGTTTAATTACCGTTGCTTGCGCAACACTCAGTATTTTATTTTTGACACGGCTTTTTCTCGGTTATTGTACAATACTTTCTGATACTTTCGACTCGGCTATCTTTTGGTAAATTCTGTGCGGTTTGAATAATTGTACTTTTCTTGTTAGTAGTGTAAATATATTATTTAATATTCAAGATACGTGTGTGTGTCGAGTGCAGTGCTTTTCTGTTCTCTCGTTTCCGACCTTCTTATCCTGCTTTCCGTCGCGCACAATAATCAGTATAATATATTAACCGATATATACTGCTATTCGTAAATAAGAAAATATTATTGTGAATTTATATATGATTGTTAGATATTGTTTTCCTTGTTTGATTGTTCGAAAAGTTATTAAGAGCAAATATAACCGCGACAACTCTCTACAATTATTCTCATTGCTTCGATAACTTCATATTGTGTGGCACAAATTTGCAAAGTCTCTTTTTTCTCTCTTCGAAGTCAGTAAACTTTTGAAGTCAGTAAAGCGAAGTTTTGTGTGAAACATAATCTTTAAATATTAATTATAATGTCAGTTGAAGAGGCTCACAGAAATGATAAGAACATACTTTTTTCGGTTAAACAAAAATTTGAAACGTGTCATAAACAAGATAGTGATCAAACAAAAAATGAAATGGCTGCTGCATATGTTTATCAAAATACTATTAGTAATATTGAACGTACTCAAAGTCCAGTAAATCAAGTAATCGGACAACCTGCTGAAAATGTTATTCAAGAGCTCACGCATCGATTAAAGAAGGAGAACATTAAAAGAGATAATGTTTATATTATGTTTAAAACAAGATTCCAGTGGTCGAAAACTTTTATACCGAAAAGCGAGAAGAAAATTGACATGCAAAAATTAATAGGCTTCCTAAATGTTATATTTTGTACAAATATTACAGGTGATCATAAATTTCCACCATTTTATTTTTATGACGGTATAATGCAAAACACCGCTAAGAATATAAAAAATATTCCTAATTTATGTACAACAAGCGATGAAATTCAAAAATTCTCACAGATTGGTGCAATAATCATTTTGTGAAACTTGTGAAAATACGTCAACAGGAAACAAATGTAAGCGACAAAGTGCTTTTAATCGTTCTTGGATCCAAGATGTTTCTTGATATTCATGCAAAAAATATTACGCAAAAAGACAATTTCGAGGTACAGTTTATTTCAGGAAACAATAAACAAATATCAAGAATAACGAATAACATGACTAAAGTAATAAGAGAAAAATGTAAAAATAAATTTCACGACTTTTGCACATCTTACGATATGAACATTTATGTTTCAACGATTAACGAGGCATGGTATAAGAATCAGTGTAAACATTTCATAAAATTATTTAACGACTTTTTGTCAAATTTTTGTACAGAAGAAAATACAATGGCAACGTCTTCAATTAATCAGACACCAAAGGTAATTATAAATGTAACTGAAGAAGATACGACACTTAAGGAAATATCAGCACAAGTAGAAGAACAATCGAAAAACAGGAGAAGTGTTGGAAAATACAAAGAAAAAGTTACCCCTTCAGATGATGTAATAGAAGATCTCAATTCTCATAAAGAAGATGAAGAAAAAGAACATCAAGGACAACAGGATAATGATAAAAATAATGAAGAAATTACAGGTAGAGTAAATATAATTTTTATAAAATTAAGAATTTATGTAAATAACGATTGTATTTTTTCAGACAATTTCACAAAATGTTTGAACTCTGGCCAAAAAATCGATGGAAGAGAATATCAACAACTGGAAAGCACAGGATACGCAGATAACATTATAAGTGTTGAAGACAATGTAGAATCAAGCCAACATGAAAATATCCCCGCGTTTGGTGATGAATTAAACTTAGCTTTTATTACTGAAGTAAAAATGTTTTGTAATACTATGAATAATGAGGGAGATTTTGATGACTATTTATAACACAATACGCAAAGTGAAGTATTAGAATCAAGCCCACTAAATTTAGATAAAGTAGAAGTACAAGTAAAAGACATTCTTGGAGTAATAGAATCTGTGACAAGTTACGACAAGGCAAATTTTTATAATTTTTTGGAACATTATAGCTTTTGATATTTTTAACACAATACGCAAGATGGAATATTGAAATTTTATATATGAAACGTAATGTGTTATATATTTTTTTATATTACTCATTGTTAGCTGCTACTATTAAATGAGTAATGTTTTTTTTTTTAGTAAAACAATTTTAGATTGGAAATTTGAATTTAAAATTAATATACATGATGATGTATTTTATTGTCGTAAATAACTGCGAAATATTCAAATATTCATAAAGATCTCTATATGCCGGAAAATCAATTTCTAGAAAATCAAGAAAAACTTTAAGATCATATTAAATTTACGTATTTTTTCTACAATTTTTTTATGTGAGGAAATAGATGTATTTTTATCGGTAAATTTATTTCTTTGAACAAAATTTTAATATGAATGTTTTAATATTCACTAAAATTGAGAATATGTAGATAGTTTTTAGTTCTATTTATTCATATATACGTATATTAACAAAATGTTTTTAATTTTATTTGCAAATTTAGTAAATAAAATACATCAAATTGATTCAAACGTTATATTTATTTTAAACAGAAGAATATAGTTTGTTCTTGTGTTAATAAAACAGAATGTTGAATATTTTAATGCACATTAAAAAACTCGTGATGAGCTATAAAATATTTGAAATGATAGATATTTTTAACACATTGATGTAAACTCAAGAAACGTTTTCACACTCTCGAAAGTAATGAGGTTTTACATTTGCATTAGATAAATATAAATATAAAATTGGTAGTAAAATCAACATTGGTAGTAAATTATATCATAAATATATAATATATATATAATACATATATATACATATATAATATATACATATATATATACATATATATATATATATATATATATATATATATATATATATATATATATATATATATATATATATATATTAAATATAATAATTTAATTTGTACATTATAAAATTTCTCTTATTTCATCTGTTTAAATGATTTGATTTTCACTTAATGTAAAATCTTGATAAATATAAAATAATTACGAAATAAATAATTTTGCATATTTAAAGTACAGGTTTATAGAATTTCTTATTTAATGAAAGATATCTTGTTTCTTTTTTAATTTTTTTTCATATCTTTTGTATTTATCTCATCATCCTTTTCTTCAAAATTTCTTCGGAATTTTGTTGTACGTCAGAGGAGAGATTTTAGTTTTCGAAATAAATGTAGATAAAAAATATTAATCCAAACACAATTTAAAAAAATTACAATAGCAATACTGAATTTTGTATCAAGCAAAAAAAATGTGTTGAAAAATATGATGTCTCTCTCACCTGTCGGAACCATGGCTCCTCACTTTGCCTGGCAGTAGAAACGGACCCGTATTGTAAGCTAGCTCTCAGTTTAGACGTAGTATTTAATTTACAGATATTTAAATTTTTGGAATCTTTTCTTGAACGTCCAGTATTTAAAAATTTTTTTTGTGTTTTTGCTACATATATCTTCTTAAATTTTTTTAGCTAGAACTTTATATATACATATACATATATTGACAACAAATTTAAATTAAAAAATTGAATTTTTAGCATATAAATTTTTACGAATTTTTACTCTTAAAATGTGGTTATATGTATATATTTAATAAAATATTAATGAAGTTCTTTACAGATTATGCAGTTCCCTCGTACAATTTTTTCATAATTTTCTTTTGACATTATTGTTATATTTTAAATTGTATAAACATAAACAATGAAATTAGTATATATTAACCGATATAATATATTAACCAATATATATTGCTATTCGTAAATAAGAAAATATTATTGTAAGTTGAAATATGACTGTTCGATATTGTTTTTCTTTGTGATTGTTCGAAAATTTCTTAAGAGCAGATATAACCGCGACAACTCTCTACAATTATTCTCATTGCTTCGACAACTTCATATTGTGTGGCACAAATTTGCAAAGTCTCTTCTCTCTCTGTTCAAAGTCAGTAAAATTTTAAAGTCAGTAAAACGCAGTTTTGTGTGAAAATAATCTTTAAATATAAATTATAATGTCAGTTGAAGAGGCTCACAGAAATGATAAGATACATACTTTTTTGGTTAAACAAAAATTTGAAACGTGTCATAAACAAGATAGTGATCATACAAAAAATGAAATGGCTGCAGCATATGTTTATCGAAATACTATTAGTAATATTGAACGTACTCAAAGTCCAGTAAATCAAGCAATCGGACAACCTGCTGAAAATGTTATTCAAGAGCTCACGCACCGATTGGAGAAGAAGAACGTTAAAAGAGATAATGTTTATATTATGTTTAAAACAAGATTCCAGTGGACGAAAAGTTTTATACCGAAAAGCGAGAAGAAAATTGACAAGCAAATATTAAATGACTTCCTAAATGTTATATTTTGTACAAATATTACAGGTGATCATAAATTTCCACCATTTTATTTTTATGACGGTATAATGCAAGGAACTAAGAATATAAAAAATATTCCTAATTTATGTACAACAGGCGATGAAATTCAAAATATTCACACAGATTGGTGCAATAATCATTTTGTGAAACTTGTGAAAATACGTCAACAGGAAACAAATGTAAGCGACAAAGTGCTTTTAATCGTTTTTGGATCCAGGACGTTTCTTGATATTCAAGATGCAAAATATATTACGCAAAATGACAATTTCGAGGTACAGTTTATTTCAGGAAACAATAAACAAATATCAAGAATAACGAGTATGAAAGTAATAATAGACAAATGTAGAAAAAAATTTCACGACTTTTGCACATCTTACGATATGAACATTTATGTTTCAACGATTAACGAAGAATGGTATAACAATAAGTGTGAATATATCATAAAATTATTTAACGACTTTTTGTCAAATTGTTGTACAAAAGAAAATACAATGGCAACGTCTTCAATTAATCAGACACCAAAGGTAATTATAAATGTAACTGAAGAAGATACGACACTTAAGGAAATATCAGCACAAGTAGAAGAACAATCGAAAAACAGGAGAAGTGTTGGAAAATACAAAGAAAAAGTTACCCCTTCAGATGATGTAATAGAAGATCTCAATTCTCATAAAGAAGATGAAGAAAAAGAACATCAAGAACAACAGGATAATGATAAAAATAATGAAGAAATTATAGGTAGAGTAAATACAATTTTTATAAGATTAGGGATTTATGTAAATAACGATTATGTACTTTCAGATAATTTCACAAAATGTTCAAACTCTGGCCAAAAAATCGATGCAAGAGGATGTCAACAACTGGAAAGCACAGTAACCGTAGATAACATTATAAACGGTGAAGAAAATATAGAATCAAGCTCCCTAAGTTTAGATAACAAAGTAGAAGTACACGTAGAAGACATTCTTAGAGTAATGGAATCATCCGATACGAGTTACGACGAGGCAAATTTGTATAGTTTTTTGGTACATTATAGCTTTTGATATTTTTAACACAATACGCAAGATGGAATATTGAAATTTTATATATGAAACTTAATGTGCCATATTTTTCTTTATATTACTCATTGTCAGCTGCAACTATTAAATGAGTAATATTTTTTTTTAGTAAAACAATTTTAGATTGGAAATTTGAATTTAAAATTAATATACATGATGATGTATTTTATTGTCGTAAATAACTGCGAAATATTCAAATATTTATAAAGATCTCTATATGCCGGAAAATCAGTTTTTAGAAAATCAAGAAAAACTTTAAGAACATATTAAATTTACGTATTTTTTCCACAACTTTTTTTATGTGAGGAAATAGATGTATTTTTATCGGTAAATTTATTTCTTTGAATAAAATTTTAATATGAATGTTTTAATATTCACTAAAATTGAGAATATGTAGATAGTTTTTAGTTCTATTTATTCATATATACGTATATTAACAAAATGTTTTTAATTTTATTTGCAAATTTAGTAAATAAAATACATCAAATTGATTCAAACGTTATATTTATTTTAAACAGAAGAATATAGTTTGTTCTTGTGTTAGAAAAACAGAATGTTGAATATTTTAATGCACATTAAAAAACTCGTGATGAGCTATAAAATATTTGAAATGATAGATATTTTTAACACATTGATGTAAACTCAAGAAACGTTTTCACACTCTTAAAAGTAATGAGGTATTACAATTGCATTAAATAAATATAAATATAATATTTAATAATATTATAATACATATATATACATATATAATACATATATACATATATATATATAAATATATATATATATATATATATATATATAATTAAATATAATAATTTAATTTATACATTATAAAATTTCTCTTATTTCATCTGTTTAAATGACTTGATTTTCACTTAATGTAAAATCTTGATATATATAAAATAATTACGAAATAAATAATTTTGCATTATTAAAGTACAGGTTTATAGAATTTCTTATTTAATGAAAGATCTCTTGTTTCTTTTTTAATTTTTTTTCATATCTTTTGTATTTATCTCATCATCCTTTTCTTCAAAATTTCTTCGGAATTTTGTTGTACGTCAGAGGAGAGATTTTAGTTTTCGAAATAAATCTGGATAAAAAATATTAATCCAAACACAAATTTTTAAAAATTACAATAGCAATACTGAATTTTGTATCAAGAAAAAAAATGTGTTGAAAAATATGATGTCTCTCTCACCTGTCGGAACCATGGCTCCTCACTTTGCCTGGCAGTAGAAACGGACCCGTATTGTAAGCTAGCTCTCAGTTTAGACGTAGTATTTAATTTACAGATATTTAAATTTTTGGAATCTTTTCTTGAACGTCCAGTATTTAAAAATTTTTTTTGTGTTTTTGCTACATATATCTTCTTAAATCTTTATAGCTAGAACTTTATATATACATATACATATATTGACAACAAATTTAAATTAAAAAATTGAATTTTTAGCATATAAATTTTTACGAATTTTTACTCTTAAAATGTGGTTATATGTATATATTTAATAAAAAATTAATGAGGTCCTTTACAGATTATGCAGTTCCCTCGTACAATTTTTTCATAATTTTCTTTTGACATTATCGTTACATTTTAAATTGTATAAACATAAACAATATAATTGTTCGAAATTCGAACGTGCAAAACCTGCGGATAAAAAATCATTAGAATCTTTCATGCAGTATTAGCATGCAACATGCATCATGCGGATAATTTATTTTATATTATTTTGTAACATGCGTAATTTTGCATTATATTTAAAATAGCGCTCGGCCGCAAGGTATACAGATACTCCGTGCCTGCGAAAAATAAGCGCTTACGTAAAATCATAATAAACAGTAAGGACCGCGGCCGCGCGATAGGTGATATACAATAGTTCGGTTAATAACAAAATGCGATGTCAATCTCACAATAAACAATAACTCTATATGTTCTTTCGCCCTCAACCTACCGATGAAATAATAAAAATGTTCGCGAATATTCTAGAAAATAGAGACTATATAAGCACCCTCTCAAGAGGCCGCGAGGCTCTTTCCGATTGCTCGTCGCGAATAGAGTGTGCTTCTACTTTCCAAAAAGATCGCTTGTCTTTTTTGCGTTTAATTACCGTTGCTTGCGCAACACTCAGTATTTTATTTTTGACACGGCTTTTTCTCGGTTATTGTACAATACTTTCTGATACTTTCGACTCGGCTATCTTTTGGTAAATTCTGTGCGGTTTGAATAATTGTACTTTTCTTGTTAGTAGTGTAAATATATTATTTAATATTCAAGATACGTGTGTGTGTCGAGTGCAGTGCTTTTCTGTTCTCTCGTTTCCGACCTTCTTATCCTGCTTTCCGTCACGCACAATAATCAGTATAATATATTAACCGATATATACTGCTATTCGTAAATAAGAAAATATTATTGTGAATTTATATATGATTGTTAGATATTGTTTTCCTTGTTTGATTGTTCGAAAAGTTATTAAGAGCAAATATAACCGCGACAACTCTCTACAACTATTCTCATTGCTTCGATAACTTCATATTGTGTGGCACAAATTTGCAAAGTCTCTTTTTTCTCTCTTCGAAGTCAGTAAACTTTTGAAGTCAGTAAAGCGAAGTTTTGTGTGAAACATAATCTTTAAATATTAATTATAATGTCAGTTGAAGAGGCTCACAGAAATGATAAGAACATACTTTTTTCGGTTAAACAAAAATTTGAAACGTGTCATAAACAAGATAGTGATCATACAAAAAATGAAATGGCTGCAGCATATGTTTATCGAAATACTATTAGTAATATTGAACGTACTCAAAGTCCAGTAAATCAAGCAATCGGACAACCTGCTGAAAATGTTATTCAAGAGCTCACGCACCGATTGGAGAAGAAGAACGTTAAAAGAGATAATGTTTATATTATGTTTAAAACAAAATTCCAGTGGTCGAAAACTTTTATACCGAAAAGCGAGCAGAAAATTGACAGGCAAATATTAACAGACTTCCTAAATGTTATATTTTGTACAAATATTACAGGTGATCATAAATTTCCACCATTTTATTTTTATGACGGTACAATGCAAAAAACCGCTAAGAATATAAAAAATATTCCTAATTTATGTACAACAAGCGATGAAATTCAAAAAATTTTCACAGATTGGTGCAATAATCATTTTGTGAAACTTGTGAAAAAACGTCAACAGGAAACAAATGTAAGTGACAAAGTGCTTTTAATCGTTCTTGGATCCAGGATGTTTCCTGATATTGATGCAAAATATATTATGCAAAAAGACAATTTCGAGGTACAGTTTCTTTAGGATACAATAAACAAATATCAAGAATAAAGAGACTCACGATTAAAGTAATAAGAGAAAAATGTAAAAATAAATTTCACGACTTTTGCACATCTTACGATATGAACATTTATGTTTCAACGATTAACGAGGAATGGTATAACAATCAGTGTGAACATTTCATAAAATTATTTAATGACTTTTTGTCAAATTGTTGTACAAAAGAAAATACAATGGCAACGTCTTCAATTAATCAGACACCAAAGGTAATTATAAATGTAACTGAAGAAGATACGACACTTAAGGAAATATCAGCACAAGTAGAAGAACAATCGAAAAACAGGAGAAGTGTTGGAAAATACAAAGAAAAAGTTACCCCTTCAGATGATGTAATAGAAGATCTCAATTCTCATAAAGAAGATGAAGAAAAAGAACATCAAGAACAACGAGATAATGATAAAAATAATGAAGAAATTATAGGTAGAGTAAATACAATTTTTATAAGATTAAGGATTTATGTAAATAACGATTGTGTACTTTCAGATAATTTCACAAAATGTTCAAACTCTGGCCAAAAAATCGATGGAAGAGAATGTCAACAACTGAAAAGCGCAAAATCCGAATTATATAAGTGGTTCCAACAATTTAAAGAATCCGGAAATATAACTCACTTTGATCACTTTAAAACTAAAGGATTAAAACTTATGGAAGAGTATGACGTATTAAAAACATATAACGACAGATACAACTGGCTGCATTGTTGTTTCAAATCTTTCGAAGAACAGGAATTTCGTCTTCAAATTCAAGAGCTCACGCACCGATTGAAGAAGAAGGACATTAAAAGAGATAACGTTTATATTATGTTTAAAACCCAATTTTATTGGAAAAGTCTTATACCGAAAAGCGATAAAAAAATTGACATGCAAAAATTAACAGGCTACCTAAATGTTATATTTTGTACAAATATTACAGATGACCATAAATTACCACCATTTTATTTTTATAACAGTACAATGCAAACAACCGCTAAGGATATAAAAAATATTCCTAATTTATGTACAACAAGCGGTGAAATTCAAAAAATTGTCAAGGATTGGTACAATAATCATTTTGTGAGACTTGTGAAAAAACGTCAACAGGAAACAAATGTAAGCGACAAAGTGCTTTTAATCGTTTCTGGTTCCAAAACGCATCTTGATATTCATACAAAAGATATTACGCAAAATGACAATTTTGAGATACAGTTTATTCCAGGAGGCATTACACTAATATATAAAATAATACAAATCATTACTAAAGAAATAAGAAATAAATGTAAAGAAGTATTTCACGAGTTTTGCACATCTTACGACATAAACATTTATGTTTCAACGATTAACGAGGAATGGTATAATAATCAGTGTGAACATTTCATAAAATTATTTAACGACTTTTTGTCAAATTGTTGTACAAAAGAAAATACAATGGCAACGTCTTCAATTAATCAGACACCAAAGGTAATTATAAATGTAACTGAAGAAGATACGACACTTAAGGAAATATCAGCACAAGTAGAAGAACAATCGAAAAACAGAAGAAGTGTTGGAAAATACAAAGAAAAAGTTACCCCTTTAGATGATGTAATAGAAGATCTCAATTCTCATAAAGAAGATGAAGAAAAAGAACATCAAGAACAACAGGATAATGATAAAAATAATGAAATTACAGGTAGAGTAAATATAATTTTTATAAGATTAAGGATTTATGTAAATAACGATTATGTTCTTTCAGATAATTTCACAAAATGTTCAAACTCTGGCCAAAAAATCGATGGAAGAGAATGTCAACAACTGGAAAGCACAGGATCTGCAGATAACATTATAAGTGTTGAAGACAATGTAGAATCAAGCCAACATGAAAATATTCTCGCGTTTGATGATAATATGATAAACTCAGCTTCAATTAGTGCTACTGAGTACGTACAAATGTTTGTGAATGTTTAAATAATGAAGGAGATTTTGATGACTATTTATAACACAATACGCAAGGTGGAGTATTAGAATCAAGCCCACTAAACTTAGATAACAAGTAGAAGTACAAATAAAAGACATTTTTGGTGTAATAAAATCTGTGACAAGTTACGACGAGGCAAATTTTTATAATTTTTTGGAATATTATAGCTTTTGATATTTTTAACACAATACGCAAGATGGAATATTAAAATTTTATATATGAAACTTAATGTGTTATATATTTTTTTATATTACTCATTGTTAGCTGCTACTATTAAATGAGTAATGTTTTTTTTTTTTAAAACAATTTTAGATTGAAAATTTGAATTTAAAATTAATATACAATGATGATGTATTTTATTGTCGTAAATAACTGCGAAATATTCAAATATTCATAAAGATCTCTATATGCCGGAAAATCAATTTCTAGAAAATCAAGAAAAACTTTAAGAGCATATTAAATTTACGTATTTTTCTACAATTTTTTTATGTGAGGAAATAGATGTATTTTTATCGGCAAATTTATTTCTTTGAACAAAATTTTAATATAAATGTTTTAATATTCACTAAAATTGAGAATATGCAGATAGTTTTTAGTTCTATTTATTCATATATACGTATATAAGCAAAACGTTTTTAATTTTATTTGCAAATTTAGTAAATAAAATACATCAAATTGATTCAAACGTTATATTTATTTTAAACAGAAGAATATAGTTTGTTCTTGTGTTAGTAAAACAGAATGTTGAATATTTTAATGCACATTAAAAAACTCGTGATGAGCTATAAAATATTTGAAATGATAGATATTTTTAACACATTGATGTAAACTCAAGAAACGTTTTCACACTCTTAAAAGTAATGAGGTATTACAATTGCATTAAATAAATATAAATATAATATTTAATAATATTATAATACATATATATATACATATATAATACACATATATACATATATACATATATATATATATATATATTAATTAAATATAATAATTTAATTTATACATTATAAAATTTCTCTTATTTCATCTGTTTAAATGACTTGATTTTCACTTAATGTAAAATCTTGATAAATATAAAATAATTACGAAATAAATAATTTTGCATTATTAAAGTACAGGTTTATAGAATTTCTTATTTAATGAAAGATCTCTTGTTTTTTTTTATTTTTTTTTTTCATATCTTTTGTATTTATCTCATCATCCTTTTTCTCAAAATTTCTTCGGAATTTTGTTGTACGTCAGAGGAGAGATTTTAGTTTTCGAAATAAATCTGGATAAAAAATATTAATCCAAACACAAATTTTTAAAAAATTACAATAGCAATACTGAATTTTGTATCAAGAAAAAAAATGTGTTGAAAAATATGATGTCTCTCTCACCTGTCGGAACCATGGCTCCTCACTTTGCCTGGTAGTAGAAACGGTCCCGTATTGTAAGCTAGCTCTCAGTTTAGACGTAGTATTTAATTTACAGATATTTAAATTTTTGGAATCTTTTCTTGAACGTCCAGTATTTAAAAATTTTTTGTGTTTTTTGCTACATATATCTTCTTAAATTTTTGTAGCTAGAACTTTATATATACATATACATATATTGACAACAAATTTAAATTAAAAAATTGAATTTTTAGCATATAAATTTTTACGAATTTTTACTCTTAAAATGTGGTTATATGTATATATTTAATAAAAGATTAATGAGGTTCTTTACAGATTATGCAGTTCCCTCGTACAATTTTTTCATAATTTTCTTCTGACATTATTGTTATATTTTAAATTGTATAAACATAAACAATGAAATTAGTATATATTAACCGATATAATATATTAACCAATATATATTGCTATAAATAAGAAAATATTATTGTAAATTGAAATATGACTGTTCGATATTGTTTTTCTTTGTGATAGTTCGAAAAGTTCTTAAGAGCAATTATAACCTCGACAACTCTCTACAATTATTCTCATTACTTCGACAACTTTATATTGTGTGGCACAAATTTCCAAAGTCTCTTCTTTCTCTGTTTGAAGTCAGTAAAATTTTAAAGTCAGTAAAGCGAAGTTTTTGTGCAAAATAATCTTTTAATATAAATTATAATGTCAGGTGAAGAGACTAACAGAAATGATAAGAAACATACTTTTTTCGGTTAAACAAGAATTTGAAACGTGTCATAAACAAGATAGTGATCATACAAAAAATGAAATGGCTGCAGCATATGTTTATCGAAATACTATTAGTAATATTGAACGTACTCAAAGTCCAGTAAATCAAGCAATCGGACAACCTGCTGAAAATGTTATTCAAGAGCTCACGCACCGATTGGAGAAGAAGAACGTTAAAAGAGATAATGTTTATATTATGTTTAAAACAAAATTCCAGTGGTCGAAAACTTTTATACCGAAAAGCGAGAAGAAAATTGACAGGCAAATATTAACAGACTTCCTAAATGTTATATTTTGTACAAATATTACAGGTGATCATAAATTTCCACCATTTTATTTTTATGACGTACAATGCAAAAAATCGCTAAGAATATAAAAAATATTCCTAATTTATGTACAACATACGATGAAATTCATAAAATTCTCACAGATTGGTGCAATAATCATTTTGTGAAACTTGTGAAAAAACGTCAACAGGAAACAAATGTAAGCGACAAAGTGCTTTTAATCGTTCTTGGATCCAGGATGTTTCCTGATATTGATGCAAAATATATTACGCAAAATGACAATTTCGAGGTACAGTTTCTTTTAGGATACAATAAACAAATATCAAGAATAAAGAGATCACGACTAAAGTAATAAGAGAAAAAATGTAAAGAAATTTCACGACTTTTGCACATCTTACGATATGAACATTTATGTTTCAACGATTAACGAGGAATGGTATAACAATCAGTGTGAACATTTCATAAAATTATTTAACGACTTTTTGTCAAATTGTTGTACAAAAGAAAATACAATGGCAACGTCTTCAATTAATCAGACACCAAAGGTAATTATAAATGTAACTGAAGAAGATACGACACTTAAGGAAATATCAGCACAAGTAGAAGAACAATCGAAAAACAGAAAAGTGTTGGAAAATACAAAGAAAAAGTTACCCCTTTAGATGATGTAATAGAAGATCTCAATTCTCATAAAGAAGATGAAGAAAAAGAACATCAAGAACAACAGGATAATGATAAAAATAATGAAATTATAGGTAGAGTAAATACAATTTTTATAAGATTAAGGATTTATGTAAATAACGATTATGTTCTTTCAGATAATTTCACAAAATGTTCAAACTCTGGCCAAAAAATCGATGGAAGAGAATGTCAACAACTGGAAAGCACAGGATCTGCAGATAACATTATAAGTGGTGAAGACAATGTAGAATCAAGCCAACATGAAAATATTCTCGCGTTTGATGATAATATGATAAACTCAGCTTCAATTAGTGCTACTGAGTACGTACAAATGTTTTGTGAATGTTTAAATAATGAAGGAGATTTTGATGACTATTTATAACACAATACGCAAGGTGGAGTATTAGAATCAAGCCCACTAAACTTAGATAACAAAGTAGAAGTACAAATAAAAGACATTTTTGGTGTAATAAAATCTGTGACAAGTTACGACGAGGCAAATTTTTATAATTTTTTGGAATATTATAGCTTTTGATATTTTTAACACAATACGCAAGATGGAATATTAAAATTTTATATATGAAACTTAATGTGTTATATATTTTTTATATTACTCATTGTTAGCTGCTACTATTAAATGAGTAATGTTTTTTTTTTTAGTAAAACAATTTTAGATTGAAAATTTGAATTTAAAATTAATATACAATACATGATGATGTATTTTATTGTCGTAAATAACTGCGAAATATTCAAATATTCATAAAGATCTCTATATGCCGGAAAATCAATTTCTAGAAAATCAAGAAAAACTTTAAGAGCATATTAAATTTACGTATTTTTCTACAATTTTTTTATGTGAGGAAATAGATGTATTTTTATCGGCAAATTTATTTCTTTGAACAAAATTTTAATATAAATGTTTTAATATTCACTAAAATTGAGAATATGCAGATAGTTTTTAGTTCTATTTATTCATATATACGTATATAAGCAAAACGTTTTTAATTTTATTTGCAAATTTAGTAAATAAAATACATCAAATTGATTCAAACGTTATATTTATTTTAAACAGAAGAATATAGTTTGTTCTTGTGTTAGTAAAACAGAATGTTGAATATTTTAATGCACATTAAAAAACTCGTGATGAGCTATAAAATATTTGAAATGATAGATATTTTTAACACATTGATGTAAACTCAAGAAACGTTTTCACACTCTTAAAAGTAATGAGGTATTACAATTGCATTAAATAAATATAAATATAATATTTAATAATATTATAATACATATATATATACATATATAATACACATATATACATATATATACATATATATATATATATATATATATAATTAAATATAATAATTTAATTTATACATTATAAAATTTCTCTTATTTCATCTGTTTAAATGACTTGATTTTCACTTAATGTAAAATCTTGATAAATATAAAATAATTACGAAATAAATAATTTTGCATTATTAAAGTACAGGTTTATAGAATTTCTTATTTAATGAAAGATCTCTTGTTTTTTTTTTAATTTTTTTTTTTCATATCTTTTGTATTTATCTCATCATCCTTTTCTCAAAATTTCTTCGGAATTTTGTTGTACGTCAGAGGAGAGATTTTAGTTTTCGAAATAAATCTGGATAAAAAATATTAATCCAAACACAAATTTTTAAAAAATTACAATAGCAATACTGAATTTTGTATCAAGAAAAAAAATGTGTTGAAAAATATGATGTCTCTCTCACCTGTCGGAACCATGGCTCCTCACTTTGCCTGGTAGTAGAAACGGTCCCGTATTGTAAGCTAGCTCTCAGTTTAGACGTAGTATTTAATTTACAGATATTTAAATTTTTGGAATCTTTTCTTGAACGTCCAGTATTTAAAAATTTTTTGTGTGTTTTTGCTACATATATCTTCTTAAATTTTTGTAGCTAGAACTTTATATATACATATACATATATTGACAACAAATTTAAATTAAAAAATTGAATTTTTAGCATATAAATTTTTACGAATTTTTACTCTTAAAATGTGGTTATATGTATATATTTAATAAAAGATTAATGAGGTTCTTTACAGATTATGCAGTTCCCTCGTACAATTTTTTCATAATTTTCTTCTGACATTATTGTTATATTTTAAATTGTATAAACATAAACAATGAAATTAGTATATATTAACCGATATAATATATTAACCAATATATATTGCTATAAATAAGAAAATATTATTGTAAATTGAAATATGACTGTTCGATATTGTTTTTCTTTGTGATAGTTCGAAAAGTTCTTAAGAGCAATTATAACCTCGACAACTCTCTACAATTATTCTCATTACTTCGACAACTTTATATTGTGTGGCACAAATTTCCAAAGTCTCTTCTTTCTCTGTTTGAAGTCAGTAAAATTTTAAAGTCAGTAAAGCGAAGTTTTTGTGCAAAAATAATCTTTTAATATAAATTATAATGTCAGGTGAAGAGACTAACAGAAATGATAAGAAACATACTTTTTTCGGTTAAACAAGAATTTGAAACGTGTCATAAACAAGATAGTGATCATACAAAAAATGAAATGGCTGCAGCATATGTTTATCGAAATACTATTAGTAATATTGAACGTACTCAAAGTCCAGTAAATCAAGCAATCGGACAACCTGCTGAAAATGTTATTCAAGAGCTCACGCACCGATTGGAGAAGAAGAACGTTAAAAGAGATAATGTTTATATTATGTTTAAAACAAAATTCCAGTGGTCGAAAACTTTTATACCGAAAAGCGAGAAGAAAATTGACAGGCAAATATTAACAGACTTCCTAAATGTTATATTTTGTACAAATATTACAGGTGATCATAAATTTCCACCATTTTATTTTTATGACGGTACAATGCAAAAAATCGCTAAGAATATAAAAAATATTCCTAATTTATGTACAACATACGATGAAATTCATAAAATTCTCACAGATTGGTGCAATAATCATTTTGTGAAACTTGTGAAAAAACGTCAACAGGAAACAAATGTAAGTGACAAAGTGCTTTTAATCGTTCTTGGATCCAGGATGTTTCCTGATATTGATGCAAAATATATTACGCAAAAAGACAATTTCGAGGTACAGTTTCTTTTAGGATACAATAAACAAATATCAAGAATAAAGAGACTCACGACTAAAGTAATAAGAGAAAAATGTAAAAATAAATTTCACGACTTTTGCACATTTTACGATATGAACATTTATGTTTCAACGATTAACGAGGAATGGTATAACAATCAGTGTGAACATTTCATAAAATTATTTAACGACTTTTTGTCAAATTGTTGTACAAAAGAAAATACAATGGCAACGTCTTCAATTAATCAGACACCAAAGGTAATTATAAATGTAACTGAAGAAGATACGACACTTAAGGAAATATCAGCACAAGTAGAAGAACAATCGAAAAACAGGAAAAGTGTTGGAAAATACAAAGAAAAAGTTACCCCTTTAGATGATGTAATAGAAGATCTCAATTCTCATAAAGAAGATGAAGAAAAAGAACATCAAGGACAACAGGATAATGATAAAAATAATGAAGAAATTATAGGTAGAGTAAATACAATTTTTATAAGATTAAGGATTTATGTAAATAACGATTGTGTACTTTCAGATAATTTCACAAAATGTTCAAACTCTGGCCAAAAAATCGATGGAAGAGGATGTCAACAACCGGAAAGCACAGTAACCGTAGATAACATTATAAACGGTGAAGAAACTATAGAATCAAGCTCCCTAAATTTAGATAACAAAGTAGAAGTACACGTAGAAGACATTCTTAGAGTAATAGAATCATCCGATACGAGTTACGACGAGGCAAATTTGTATAGTTTTTTGGTACATTATAGCTTTTGATATTTTTAACACAATACGCAAGATGGAATATTGAAATTTTATATATGAAACTTAATGTGTTATATTTTTCTTTATATTACTCATTGTTAGCTGCAACTATTAAATGAGTAATGTTTTTTTTAGTAAAACAATTTTAGATTGGAAATTTGAATTTAAAATTAATATACATGATGATGTATTTTATTGTCGTAAATAACTGCGAAATATTCAAATATTCATAAAGATCTCTATATGCCGGAAAATCAGTTTCTAGAAAATCAAGAAAAACTTTAAGAACATATTAAATTTACGTATTTTTTCTACAACTTTTTTTATGTGAAGAAATAGATGTATTTTTATCGGTAAATTTATTTCTTTGAATAAAATTTTAATATAAATGTTTTAATATTCACTAAAATTGAGAATATGTAGATAGTTTTTAGTTCTATTTATTCATATATACGTATATTAACAAAATGTTTTTAATTTTATTTGCAAATTTAGTAAATAAAATACATCAAATTGATTCAAGCGTTATATTTATTTTAAACAGAAGAATATAGTTTGTTCTTGTGTTAGTAAAACAGAATGTTGAATATTTTAATGCACATTAAAAAACTCGTAATGAGCTATAAAATATTTGAAATGATAGATATTTTTAACACATTGATGTAAACTCAAGAAACGTTTTCACACTCTTAAAAGTAATGAGGTATTACAATTGCATTAAATAAATATAAATATAATATTTAATAATATTATAATACATATATATACATATATAATACATATATACATATATATATATATATATATATATATATATATATAATTAAATATAATAATTTAATTTATACATTATAAAATTTCTCTTATTTCATCTGTTTAAATGACTTGATTTTTACTTAATGTAAAATCTTGATATATATAAAATAATTACGAAATAAATAATTTTGCATTATTAAAGTACAGGTTTATAGAATTTCTTATTTAATGAAAGATCTCTTGTTTCTTTTTTAATTTTTTTTTCATATCTTTTGTATTTATCTCATCATCCTTTTCTTCAAAATTTCTTCGGAATTTTGTTGTACGTCAGAGGAGAGATTTTAGTTTTTGAAATAAATCTGGATAAAAAATATTAATCCAAACACAAATTTTTAAAAAATTACAATAGCAATACTGAATTTTGTATCAAGAAAAAAAATGTGTTGAAAAATATGATGTCTCTCTCACCTGTCGGAACCATGGCTCCTCACTTTGCCTGGCAGTAGAAACGGACCCGTATTGTAAGCTAGCTCTCAGTTTAGACGTAGTATTTAATTTACAGATATTTAAATTTTTGGAATCTTTTCTTGAACGTCCAGTATTTAAAAATTTTTTTTGTGTTTTTGCTACATATATCTTCTTAAATTTTTTTAGCTAGAACTTTATATATACATATACATATATTGACAACAAATTTAAATTAAAAATTGAATTTTTAGCATATAAATTTTTACGAATTTTTACTCTTAAAATGTAGTTATATGTATATATTTAATAAAAGATTAATGAGGTTCTTTACAGATTATGCAGTTCCCTCGTACAATTTTTTCATAATTTTCTTTTGACATTATTGTTATATTTTAAATTGTATAAACATAAACAATGAAATTAGTATATATTAACCGATATAATATATTAACCAATATATATTGCTATAAATAAGAAAATATTATTGTAAATTGAAATATGACTGTTCGATATTGTTTTTCTTTGTGATAGTTCGAAAAGTTCTTAAGAGCAATTATTTTAACCTCGACAACTCTCTACAATTATTCTCATTACTTCGACAACTTTATATTGTGTGGCACAAATTTTCAAAGTCTCTTCTTTCTCTGTTTGAGGTCAGTAAAATTTTAAAGTCAGTAAAGCGAAGTTTTTGTGCAAAAATAATCTTTTAATATAAATTATAATGTCAGGTGAAGAGAAACAGAAATGATAAGAAACATACTTTTTTCGGTTAAACAAGAATTTGAAACGTGTCATAAACAAGATAGTCATACTACAATAAATGAAATGGCTGCTGAATATAATGTTTGTCGAAATACTGCCCGCAACGTTATTGAACGTTCTCAAAGTCCAGTAAATCAATCAATCGGACAACTATTAAAAGCGGACAACCAAACAGAATATAGCAGCTTGAAGAGAGAGCTATATAAGTGGTTCCAAAAGTGCAAGGAATCCGGAAACGAGATTGACTTTTTGCAATTTAAGGCTAAAGGATTAGAACTTATGAAAGACTATAATGGAATAAAAACGCATAACTATAGATACCTCTGGCTGCGTCGTTGTTTCATATCTTTCGAAGAACAGGAATATCATCCTCAACCTGCTAAAAATTAAGAACAACAGGATAATGATAAAAATAATGAAGAAATTACAGGTAGAGTAATTATAATTTTTATGAAATTAAGGATTTATATATAATAACGATTATGTTCTTTCAGATAATTTCACAAAATGTTCAAATCCTGGTTAAAAAATCGATGGAAGAAAATGTTAACAACTGGAAAGCACAGTATCCGCAGATAACATTATAAACGGTGAAGATAATGTACATGATAATATCCACGCGGATGATGTTATGATAGATTAATTTTTATATAATGGGTATTCTTTTGACGAACGATATTTCCGTAAATATTTGTACAATGAAGCAGTAAATGATATAGTAATAGATTTTGAAGACTATTTATAACACAATACTCAAGGTAGAATATTAAAATTTTATATAGAAAGATAAAACTTAATGTTTTATTTTTCAAATGTTTTATATTTTTCTTTTTATTAGTTATTATATGTAAATGTCAAATAAACGATGAATATCTTTTTTTTGCGAATATAATTTTAATTATAAATTTAAATTAACATAATTAATAATGTATTATGTTGTCGTAAAAAACTAAATAGTTAAAGTATTTATGAGGATTTCTATATTCTGGACATCAGTTTCTAGAAAATTAAAAAAACTTTAAGAGTGTATTAAATTTACGTATTTTCTCTAACACTTTTCTTCGTCGCACATTCAGTAAATAAAAGATATCAAATTGATAAAGCCAGTAAAATATCAAATGATGTATTATTATTAGTTTTATTAATAGAATATCGTTTATACTTTTTAGTAAAAAAGAATGGTAGAAACATTTTAAGGCATATTAAGAAGCTCGTTATTAGCTAAAAAATATTAAAAAAATTTTTTAAACATTTTATGTGGTATAGATTAAATTGTAATACATTTTACTGTATTGTAAGAAAGCTCTCAAAGTTTAGACTTAGTACATGTAATTTGTAGATACATAAATTATTGGAATCTTTTCTTGAACGTCAAACATTTCTTCAAATTATTTTTTTTTGTATTTTTGCTAGATATATCTTTAAATATTTTTAGCTAGAATTTTATACATATATATTGAAAATTTCATAAGTTCAAATTAAAAGCTGAATTTTTGGCATATAAATTTTTATAAGTTTTTACTCTTAAAATGTGGATGAACATTTATATGCATTTAAATTTAACAGATAACCAACAAGAGATTTTGAGATTGACAATCATATTGACATGTATATATATATATATATATATATATATATATTTATATATATATATTTATGCATGTATGTATTGTTTTATATATATAAGTGTGTAAATATGTGTTATATTTAAACGACGCACACATAGTAAACTTTTAATTATAAATATATATTATATAACATGAGTTGTAGATATGTTTTACAAATATATATTTACAAATATTACAACTGTATATATATTTTTATTTAATTATTTAGGTATTATGATATATTGTTATTACACATATCAGTTTAATATAAATTCTCTTGAGAGAGACAAGCAAAAATAGTTATATTTTTAGAAATAATTTGACATTTTACATTCATAATTTTAAGGAAAATGTATTAGAATAATGTTTTGCAATTAAGTGATATGGTATGCTCATATGTAAGGAATAAAAATGATAAATATAACATTAAGACAAATTTATTTTGAGGAGATTCCATGAAAAACTTTTAAATCTATTCTATTGTCATTTTTAAATGTACATATAGGAAGCAGTATAATAAATAATATATACATATGTCTCAATAACATGATGTAGAAGAAAATCCTTAAATTTTGTGCATGTAAGTTTTAGTTCTGCTATTTTATTACGACTCACAATTTATTTATTAATTGCATTTTTCACAGCTTCATTCGTCAAAAGCTTTTTATTTTTTTTAATTTATTTTACAAACATTATTTAAATATCACTAGTTATATGCACGTCGATAATATTCCATTTTTATGGAGTATATATTATTTCAATAATCAAACGTTTGTTTTAAAATGTGTCTCTGCGAAAAATGATCAGTTATAGAAATCAGTTATGGAAGATCAGTTATAGAAATATTTAAATAATAATGGCGAATAAAGTTACGTCATTATTGTTATACAATTTTACGTAATAATATTGTTTAATAAAATAATGGACATAAAATTGATATTTATTATATTTTTTTTCATAATCAGCTGGTGACAACATTGCAGTATCTGGTGAGTGAAGAAATGATACTTTTGTATGATTAGTTATTTATCTTGATAATGGCGTTGTTGCATCATATTTGTCAAATTAATATAAATCTGAAAAATATAATATAGAACTTTCTACTTTTTCAATAATATACTTCATTTTTATCATTATAGATAATATGCATACATATACGTACATATGTAAGAAATTAACTTTTAGTACATCTAAATAATTAACATATTAAAATAAAAGAAATATAAATATGACGTAAAATTCATTATAAATGCATTTAAATAGCAAAATGTGACGCAACTCGCTATTCATTTTTATAAAAATTCACATATTAAGAGAAGGGAATAAGGATTGTTAAGAATAGAGGAAAATAACAAACTTACACGAGGATGTAAATTTTTCGAATTTTTTTTTACTAAAGAAACATATTTCAGTAACGAACACACACGGACAAATCAGTGATCGAACTAAATCATACAAGATTAGGTACTTCTCTATTTCTTCCTTGCCTCTAGAAGGTTACAATGCTTTAGTTATCTTTTTTGTTTTGGGTATATTATAGGATATTTTTACGGAGATATAATTAGTGTTCCTCTCTCTTTCGGCTTATTAAGCGCTGAATTATTTTATACGAAGCGACTCGAAGTTGTTCGCTCAATTGTTATTCTTTTTTTCATCCGCTCGATCGCGCGATCGATCGAAGGCGCATGTCGACGCTCGCGCTAATCATTATACAATAAGAGTTCACTATCGCTATCGAGTCCATCTGCCAGAATGCGTCTCGATCGCGCGATTCTCGAGCGAGCTATCTATATTGCTTCGTCGCAGGAGATAACATATATGTGTTATTGTGCTCATGCGAATGTCCACGTTCCACACATTTTCCAGGTAAGCAATTTTTAAGAAAGTTTCACCGAGCTACCAAACTTGAAATTTACCCCTTTTATACTTTAAACGCTCTGTGTCAAACAACAAATATGTTCTTATATTTTTGAAGGTCTGAATCTTCAATGAAATTATACAAACCTATACTTATGTTTTAATCAATCTATCATTTTTTCTTATTTGTAAAGATTGAGTATGTCAGATAATTATAAAAAAAAACCAACAAGTAAACAATTCTAAAATATAGTTTGATATAAATAGTATATAATAAAATGAAATGTTCAGAAACTTGAAGTCCAAGCGCTTTAAGGGAGAACCAGAAAAGTGGAAAATCGCGAATAAGCATTCGAATACTCGGACGAAATTGTTTGAAAAACCGCTGGCAATCTCGACCCATCCAGCTAAGGGATGAAAAGTCGAATGCGTTTACGAGTATTGACTCGTTCATTTTTACGCGAACGATTGCAAAGTCGATCGGTAATGACCTCGCGGACGTTAAAAACCGTGTGAAAGTGGTGTATACGTGAGTTTTGTGACATTTTTACTTCTTTCGGTTCTATACCTCTTCTGATTTCTTGTCACACGTGATATGCGCGATCAGGTATCGATACAGCGATTAATAACGTTAACGTTAACGCGCGTACTTACATTATAAAGGTCGGTCAGTCGACTCTTTTGCGCTAACTTGTCTTCCGGCACTTCTTACTGGTCTCTCTCTCTGTTTTTCATTCAGTTAACAGCGATCTGCGTAAAAACGCTTGTACGACACGTGATCTCACTCCGTGCAACGTCAAGTGGAAGATTCGTTAGACAATCCTTTAATAATCTTTACGATATCGCGCACCTGCTGCGATCCTGTCTGTTCTAATGCAATAAAATTTCTTGAATTTATCTATGACACATATAATTAAAAAAATATATTTTTTTGCACATGTGTAGTATGTGTTCGATATATAAAAATTAATTATAATTCACGAAGTAAAAGTGAAATCAAGAATGTCTGTATTTACTATGCTTGAAGGAAAGATAATTATTTAAACATTGCGAGTAAATAAAAATTCATTCAACATACCGATTACTTTAAAACTCTTCTGTGCAACGTACACGTTAAAAGAGATATACATATGTATTTGAAAAACATTAATTAAAGAATGATAAAATGAAAATTCAATATCCGTCTACAGATTTGATCTTTATCATATTTTGCTTCGTAACGATACTGAATAAAAACTTTGTTAACTTTAGAAAACCTTTCAACTAAATTACTATTTTGTTAATTGAACATACATGTATTAGTATTTAAGTCAAATATGTTTTATTAAATTTAATATGTTATATTTAATTTAAATATTTTCATGTGTTCAATTATTAATTAAATTCTATTTAATTTAAAGGTTTCGCCAAGTTAACGAATTCAGTATACTACGTAATTTAATGCTATTTAATTTTTAAGAAGTGCAGTGATCGCAGAGAAAGCGCGATTACTCATTTTCTTCAATTGTACGCTCCTTTCGATGAAAAGTATCAAAATCTTTAGCTTACAAAACGGTTTACATTGAAAGCATATTAACGCGATACAGAATTGCGAACTTTATCGAAGAACGCGATATTATCTTTGTTCACATTTGTAGTTCGGGATCTCGTGAGACTCGTAAAATCCTCGCGCGAAGCTTATCTCCGTTTCTCTTCATAGCATCAGGAAATAATATTTCTCTTTCTTTCTCGTAGAGATAAACACACAAACGAATCCTCGTTCTCTCTTTTTATCCCTTTCTCTCGCTCTCTCACTCTCTTGAATTGCATACATAAATGCACACGTAACATACGCGCAGCAGACACGCGAGCTTATTTTATTTCGTGCTAATATCATAATCGAGTCGAATCCTCGGCAACTGTTATAGAGATACAAACTATAGGAGCGTAATATATAACGTCGGTACGCGTGTGTAGTACAGATTGTCGCAAAAATTGGATTCTACAGATTTCACTCGGTAATTAATAGCTTTATTTTATTAAAAATTATTATAATTTAATAGTTAATATATAAGTCGTATTTTCTGCGGATTATCACTAATTTTCACAAATGACTTGATATGAAAATTCTCTTCGATCTTTAATATTTATGAATTCTCTTAGATTTTTTTATATTCTTAGATTATGGATCTTCCTTTGCATTAAATTCTCGGATTTTACATGTCCTTAGATTTTTATTTATTTTCTTTCTTAAAGAATCCGTGATTGCGCGATGTATATATAAAAAATTTCACGGAATTTGCACAT